AAGGGAAGGGAGAGGGGGGAAAGAATGGATCCCAGGTGCTTCTGCCTAGCAGAGGGGCTGGTGCACACTTCCGGTGATGTCAGGGGGTGTGGCATATGCTAATAAGTTATGCTAATGAACTCCTGCAGCTCTTTTTTTACGAAATGACCCCTGGTTGTCACTATCGGAGGAACTGCTGCCCTTCATTCCCAAACTGGTATCATGTGACCCACAGCTGGAGAGAGGAGGACAGAAGGAACAAGAGGCTTCCTCCACACAGGGTCTCTTAAAGGTCTTTCAAGTCAATAGCTTGGATCTCATGGAACATTTCTAATAACTTAAGGATTTCTGTCAGTGGAGTGCAACTTCCTTGCCTCTCCCCAAAATGCTCACCCCATGCTGCTGCTGCTGCTGCGGGACAAGAGACTACCAGGCACAGCATGAGGGGAACGTCAGAGGTCTGCAGAAGGAGGGGGAAATCAACAAAAATATCTGCATAAATCTTCCATGAGATTCACCCCATTAAGCGTGGTGAAGGCCAAGTGTGGTGAAGGCCAGCACCATTGTCTCCTGGCCTCAGATAATAAGAAGCAATTGTACAGAAGAGCTGCTTGGTGAAAAAAATAGAACTTGTATGCCCATCAGGCACTAGATAGCACCAGGTGTCAGTTGGTGACAACTGATATGCATCCAGAACTATAGTTGGGTCCAACTGGAGTTCACTGCCTAATTTCCAATAATCTCTCTATTTGAATCTGATGTAATGCCTCGGTATGCAACGATGGATGGATGGATGGATGGATGGATGGATGGATGGATGGATGGATGGATGGACGGATGGATATTTTAAGGGAGAATTACCAAGAATAATGAATATTATTACCATTCATCTGGAATTAAGTATAAAAGTAATTTAATGAATTCCAAAGTTGTAAGTTAGTCAGTTTTGCACAATGTTCATGTTTGTAATTTTTGTATATTTATAACAACGATTTTATCCAAAATTAATGTAGACAGTGTGGTTGAGGTAGAATGCCAGGTATTCATTGCTTCAGATAATGAGATTTGATTTTCTAGGGAGTTGGTCATTAGCTTCTAAGGACTTTGGCTGACCTGCAGTTCCCGGAGCTTCTTCTATATACAGTCAAACAAACAAAATGTTCTGGTTTGCATTCAGCTGTTCTTCTTACCACACCCTTCGGTGTAAGATAAAAGAAACCGAGAAGCTCTATAGATTCTGAGGGAATTGCTTTCATATTCTTTAATTTTTGTTCTACCTTGCTCAGATTTGAAAAGTACTGATTAATTGAAAACACTTTATTTGAAGATGCAGTAGAATTAATTAAGTCTTTAATACACAATTATTGAACTGGCATTCTTCCAAAGTGCTGCTTTTGGGGGGAAATCTCTGTTTATAATTAGCCTTTTTAATACTTCAGACAATTTTAGTATCTCGAAATGGCCTCTTTAAAGCTGTCAGATCATTTTAACTCTGTTGTGGCTGGTATACTGTCTGAAATAAACACAAATAGCTTGTCAGAATACAAGAATGCATGCAACATCTCCAGAAATGTTACCACACTGGAAAGTGTGGTCACCATGGTTTCAAGGGGAGGCTAATGCTCTTGTGTTCTGTTAACATACAGCTGAGTGCCCCATAATGCTTTCTTCTAACAGAGATGAGCAGGGTAACCAGGCAGTGGGGTGGGGGGGGGAAGAGTCTTGTGGAACCTTAAAGACTAACAGATTTACTGAAACATAAAGTGAACTTTAACCCATGAAAAGGTATGCAATCTATCAGTCTTTAAGGTTCCTCAAGGCTTCATTTTGTAACAAAGATTGTGGATTTGATAAGACTTTCCCTTGATTGTCACATTCTCATTCCTGAGTTGGTAAGACTCTCCAAACCATTTATGAAAGCAGGTGAGGAGAAGCAATGGGTTTGGGTCATCAGAGCGGCATGAGTCCAGAGCCAGTGTGAGGACCCTTCCTCTGATGGAAAAGGCTCTTCCTCTGGAGAAAGTACTGGAGGAAAGATCCATACTATCCTGACAGGAGTGATAGGACCTAGTGGGTCTCAGATGCATTGATTTTCTCCTCCCCCTCTCAAATCAATCATTGGTCATTTCTTATTATCATGCATTGGTCTTCCCAGATGTGGGAGACCATTCTCTGATATCAAGATGTGGAAGACCATTCTATGATATATAAGTAGAAAGGAGGAGGTAGCTTTCCAAGTGAAATGATACACTCTTGTGCAACTACTTAAAGCTGTTTAGCAGAAACAGGGAGTTTCCAAATAAGAGAAGGCACGAAATAATGTTTTATGATTCAGTGTGTTGCAAGATTGACCTCTATTGTCCTGGCGAGTGACAAAACGAGGAGTGCCTTCCGCCTCCAAATGGCACAAGGAGGGCCTGCTGAGTCTCAGAAGGACAAGGGCTGCTCTGAAAAGGCAGGCTCTTGAGAGACTATTCTCATCATCACTGCCATCGCTGCTGCAGTTGGTGTGAACAAGAAACATTTCCAAAGGTAACTCGTTGAACAAGTTGGAGTGGGCTCAGATCTGTGCGCAGTGTGGTTGAGAGGTAGGAAAAACAAGTATGTTCTTCCTGCCGTCGTCTGTTTACGGGAGATTGCAAATCTTAAAGCTTGTGGACAATGTGGAAACCAGGCTCCCTGTGCATGTGATCTACCACAGAGCTCTCCCTCTGTGGCGGAGACCTATGGCTAAATGGCTGGTGTTTTGCATGATGAACATTGCAGCTCCGTCTCTGGCATTCCCAGTGAATAAGAATAAGAATCTTAGGTAGCAGGGCTGTGGAAGATCCTTGCCTAAGACCATGGAGAGGGGTTGCCAGGCAGGGTAGACAATTCTGGACTGAATCTCCTTTGTAAAACTGCTGCTAACGTGGAGCAAAAAAAAAAATTCAAATGGAATAGAGAGCAAGGCTATGTGTCTATATGCAGTAGATAAGTTGAGGAAATATGAGGGAGTATCTTTCAGAGGGATCATAGGGTGACTCTGATTTTGTGGGTCAGATAAATCTCGGGCCATCTTAGCTTTTTACAAGTAATATTATCTCAGCATGCAGATATGTGGTCCCTTCTGTTTTGTCTCACCTGCTGTCATGATGGCCTTATTAGCAGCTCAGAGGTCAGACCCTTTTGAGTCCTCAGTGGTTCATGTTGGAGTCCACT